TAATTTATCTTAATAAATATTTAAGAGAATGAACTTTTTTTTTTCAAACAACAAACAAGTCAATTTATAAAAACTTACAATAAACGTGCAACCAACTGATTACAAAAAATATAACATTAAAAGGCTATGACAATAGAAAAACAAGCTTATTCCCTCTTCAAAGCCTTCTTGGCTAACAATAAGGAAAAATATAAAAACGTAAGTCCACAAGGAAACAAAAAGAACTAAAACAGTCCAAATAAGACATAAATATCATAATAAAGGTTACATGAGTAGGTGGGATTCCTAGAATTCAGCAGCTGAGCCATGGCAGAGGAATCCACACAACAGCAAAGGGGATTTTCACCTTCACATATCAGTTTTTGCAAACTTACCATGCTTGAATTGGTTTGGTTTTAGGGGAATGAAAAAGAGGGAGAATTAAGGGATGAGTTTTTCTTTTTTATTATTTGGTTTACCTATTTTGGAGGGAGAGAGAAGTCCCTCTCTTCCTCTTTTTTCTTTTCCTTCTAAAAAGAGATTTAGAGAGAGGAGGAAAATTATTGATACTAGGTTATTTGTCCTATTGTTAAATTAGTTTATTTATCTATTTTTATTAATTTATAATAGAGAGAGAGAGATTTACTTGAAATAGTATTGAAATTCCCGCTCAATTAAAGTTTTTATTGTTAGTATTTTTTTTTCTTGGAAAATGGTGGTTGAATAAAAATTCGAATTCAATTTTTTTTTAAAAAAAAAGAGAAAAAAAATGTTATTTGAGAAAGATATTGTGTGAACGTTAATTCCTATAAATATTTGCAATTATTTCTTTAAGTTATGGGTAAATCTGGCCAATAATGAGAAAGTATCTTGAAATTCTTGCTTTCAAAAAATCCGATCAATCATTCCCTTAAATTTTTTTCGGTTAATCGTTTAGTGAATAAAACATTTGAAATTTTGAAATCTTTCTGAAAAGTCATGTGAACTTAATTTGTAAATATTGTTTTACCCATATTTATCTATAAAATCTCATATTTTATGATCACAACTAAAAATTCGTAATTATGTAATGAAGAATGTTAATTTCATAAATTAATTTATATTTCGGTAATTGATGATTCTTTTGTCCATATTTATCTAACTACAAAATCTTTTAAATTTTAGAAAGAATATCATATTATGTGGATTCTTGGTACCTATTTTTTTGTACACGTCTATTTTTCATCTAATATAGAGTTGAAAGAATAAGTGGCTTTCTTCTGTAGGAAAGAAAATTCTAATCAAGGCGGTTTTAAATGCCTTGCCTGTGTTTGCTATGTCCTGTTTCTCTTTACCATTTGAGTTGTGCAAGTAGATAGCTAGTATCTGTGTTAGGTTCTGGTGGAGCAAATGAGGTGAGTTTCAAAAAGGGATTCAATGGAGGAATCGGGAGTTTCTCTAGCATGGGGGATTGGATTTCCAGGATATCCATCTTTTCAATGAGGCTCTGATTAAAAAGCAAATTGGAGACTGCAGACTCAACAAACCCTCTATTCAGCAAGATCTTGAAATCCATGTATTTCCCTAATTTCCCATTGTTCAATGCTCAGAAAAGGTAGAATTCTTCATGGTTGTAGAATATTTGGCTAAGTGTTAGGGATAACTGTGGCAAATGGATGATGATGGGGGTAGGAGATGGGATGGGTACTAAGATTCTGGGAGGTAACTAGATTTCGAACTTGAGAGGGAAAAAGATAAATTTCAAGCAAAAGGCTAACAGGGGACTGATTTAGGGTAGAGACTTGTTAGCTAATAATGGAAGGTCTTGATGAAAGGATCCATGTGGAGGAGGTTGCAGGCATTATGAAGATCAATTCTTTCAACCTAAATACTTTTGACAGATGGGTGTGATCTCTTGATAAGAAGGTATTTTTCTTGTGGCTAACACATACTCCTATCTCATTGAACGAAAAATACTAAAAATTGATAGGGCTCAAGGGAGTGAGGTTGTCAACAAGGATAGGAAAAAAAAATATATTATGGAGGTTGAGAGTTAAGGGTAGGGTTAAGCATTTTATTTGAAAGTGTTGTACATGTACCTTGCCTGTGAACTTGAACTTAAAAAGAAGGGGGATTGAAGTGGATTTGATTTGAAAAGTGTGTGGGGCTGAGGAGAAAACAACTGAGCATGTGTTGTTTCATTGTGTTAGACCAAGTAAGTTTGAAAACAAGCTCCAGTCAGATGGGATGGGCCAAAGGGAGCATATTCTTTTCAAAGCTGGTGGTGGCAGATTGGTGAGTTGGATAGGAGTGAGGTTTTAGAAGCCCTGATTCAACTCTCGACTTACATCTTGTGGTGGCTCTAGAAATCTCAGAATTTGTTGCAGTTTGAGGCAATCTGGAGATCGGCTCCTCTTATCTCAAAAGTGGCAGTGAGTGATTGGTCAGAGTTCTTAGAGGTAAACCGGCAGGTTGACTGTGGAAAAAGGATACAATGAAGGCAACTAGGCTCTTTGGATCAGTGGTGACTCTTCTATTGTTTTGCCTTTTTTTCATTTATGTTTCTTGTGTTTATGGGTTTAAAGGTTCAATTGAGTTATAACTGCCTTAGATTCTTGTGTTTGGTTTGGTTTAAGAGTTGTGTTAGAGCTTGGTTTAAGGATACAATGAAGGCAACTTAGACTGTTTTGTATTCAAAGTTTGGTTTGGTTTTTATGTGAGTTTCTTCTATCGTTTCGACAAAAAAAAAAAAAAGCTATTCTCAAATTTCAACTCATGATTATTAACAGTGTTTGAAGTAAAGTTTAAATTATTGGATAACATATATAACCGGGAGTTTATATTGACTTGAGCGTGTTCTTTTATATATATACATATATATATGTATGTATGTATTATATCGATGGCATGTGAGTGGGACACTTATATTTTTTTCCTATTTGAGAGTTCGTTGATTCAAGCTTATAATACATATTATATTCATAACTTAAAGCTTTTCTAGTTTCATATCACTCATTGTGCTTGAGTTTTGATTTTCTTATTCTTGTTCAGGGACGAACGAGGATTTAAGCTTAGGGGAGTACATAGTACTTTCTTTAAATTCTCCATGTTGTACGACCTAGGTAATTGTTTTCCAGCGCGATCCTCAAGACGTATGTTCCTCTGCATAGACTTTCTCTATAGTGAATAGTCCTTCCTAATTGGGCTTCAGTTTACCCATATTTATGAATGCACCTACATGTAACCAAACTAAATTAATTACCAACCTAGAACCATCACATCTTAACCATTCTACCATGAGCTATCTACATTTGTTGCTTGTAGTTCTTCATTTATAGCATCAGTTGCTCGTGATATTCCTCAATCGTATCTAAAGCCTCTTGAACAATATCATTGTTAAAATGTTTGTGGTACTGCATCACCCACTGTAAAAGAAGCCAATGTCAACTGGTATGACATCTTTCTTGTCGTGGTTGACCTCAAAGTAGTTTGGGATGCCCATAAATCCAGCATGAGTTTATCCACCCATGCTTCTTAGGCGTTTTACAACCTTATCTTCATTCCTTGTAAAATAATATGGTTTATTACCTCAACTTGACAGTTGGCCTGAGGATGCGCCACAAATGTGAAGTGTTGATGTATTTTCAATTTCGATAACCAAGCTCTAACACAACTCTCATTGAACCGTGTCCCATTATCCGGGACAAGTATTTGAGAAACATGATACTTATAACTTATGTTGTGAAAGAAAAAAATCAAATAATCTCATAATCACTCTCTTAATTACTTTTTCAACCATTGAGTCATCTGAAATTTTATGATAAATATATTCAAAATTAATGAAATAGAAAACTTATTTGTAAAATTTGTTTTTAAAGTCTCTATAAAACTGTACATAGGCAATCATATATATTTTTTGTGTGTGTGTTTGAGAAAAACATTTACTTTCAAATAAAAATATTTAATGAGAAAAAATGGTTGGGTCGATGTGTTTCGACTGGGTCACATGAAAGAAGGTCTAAATACACTCGACCTGCATTACACGTCGTTGACCCCACTATAAGATAATGATCAAATTTCATCGTAATATATTCTATCAGCTATTGATGATAATTCCAATAGAAATTTCAATAATATAACTTCCATTAGAAAGTATTAACATAAATTCCAATAAAAATTCTGTGTTGGAAAATGATTCTAGCAGTAATTTTTGGTGAAATTATTCGTGGAAAAATAATTTCAATGGAAATTGCATACTTCAAAGGAAATCTTGGCAACTACAATATGTTAAAAGAGTTTTTGAATTGTCAAATTATAGCTGAAATTCAAAAAATAATAAATAAATAAATCAATCTGAGTATCTTTGATCGGTAAAAAGATGTCCCGGGTTCTATGAAAAGGTGGAACATGAGGACTTCCTAGGGGGTCGAAACTAAATGTCTTAGCATCGTTGTGTGTTGTTGATATGTGGTGGGGAAAAAAAAATATTTGTCATTTTGAAAAGATAAAAAAAATGTTTATTTGTCAGGACTATTGTTTTTCACTATTTGATATATAGTGATAAAAAAAATTTGTGATGATTTTTTCAAAAGAAATTTTTTGCCACTATATATTTCCGCTATTACTTATTTTTTAACACAACAAATATTATAGGTGAAAGCCTATGAAAAATGTTTTTTAGTACTGATTCCAAGTTGAACTTGCTGGTATGGCGTAGTGTTCAAAAGTCAATAACATCTATATATATATAATTGCTGGCAAGTTTCAATAAATTTTATTCAGTCAGCAATTAATAATAATATGAATTCATTTAATAAAAATAGGTGTTCATTTAATAAAAATGTGTTCATCATTTAATAACAATATGTAACTTTCGGTTACACAATTTATTTTGAAAATCAAGAATGTTGTATATAAAGAAGTGTTTAATAATATTTAGATTCACTTTTTTAAATTATTTTTTTCTCATTTATTAAGTTATGATTTTTATTTTAATCTATATTTTTAATTGCTTTCTCTTCTATTATATCATTTTTCGTGCAAATGCACGAGGTAAAACTAGTTGATTGTGTAATACAACCAAGTTGTATCCAACATAACTTGTATTGGATACTGCAAGCATCACACAAAATTCACAAGCATATGTTAATACATATTTGACAACTTAAAATTTTTTCAATTGTGCAATAAAATCTCTTCGAAGTTTATATTATTAGTTTCGCATAATGAATATGAACACATAGAAATCGAGTGGTTAGCGAAACTAACTGTAAATGAATAATAAGGTGGTAGTTGGCTAGTAGGACTGGCATTCATACATTTTTTACATATATGAATATTTTAAATTGAAATGGCATACTCTAAAAAACAACATAAATAGAAATAGCATAATTAATAGTATAAGTATACACTTTTATTACAAAAAAACAAGCCTCACACAAAAACTTTGTGGTATAACAATTTATGAATCCAAAGCCATACGTGAATTGGCTTTGGCTCTCTAAATAAATGATCACACGATAAAAACAATTAGCAAGAACATAAGGCATGCACTTCTTGAAAGAAACATGACATTTTTGTGCGCTATGTTTGGTAAAGTAGGATAAGCATCAGGAGGGGGAAGTCGACATTCATCTCCATTGAAATAAATTTTCCTCGGAAAAGCCCAACCATGTTTAAGTGTAAATTTATCCTTATCCTTTCTTAATAATATCTCTGTCTGAACATTGCCCAAAGGTCCGGCTTCCATTAAAAGATCATTATAAAACTTCATGCCGTAGAACATGGCCGTATCATCTGCAATAATACATGACCAACAATGTATAGTTATTTTAATTACTTAAAACATACATAAAATTAGTTTTAATTTAATTTGTACTGACTCACTTATTGACTGGTAAGGGACTAGTGGTTTGTAATCAAAGCTGAAAACTTGAGTGACATTGTTGAGATTAGGATGCTGCGCGACTAGCGTCCACTGCGTGTAGTTGAGTCGGTAGTTGAAATTTGTTACAGCAATCTTTACACGCCAATACTCTCTGTAGTTGATTTTGACGTGCCAATGAACACGTATGGGGCACATATGATGCGTGCATTGCAACAACGGAACATTGTCCTTTCTTGGGGTGTTTATTCCCGCCTTCTTCAACTTCTCTGAGTCACTCCTGCGAATATTATAAAAGATGAAAAGAATATCCAAATCAAAACAATAACACGATTACTAGTAGATTGAATTGTATTAGAATATAAAGTTGTCTCACATCGTTTATACATAAAAAATAGGCCAAACTTATAAGCCTAGTAGGCTACTCTTCCAACAACCAATTGGTAGAAGGACGAATAGCCCACTAGGCTTAGAAGTTATGCCTATTTTCCCTGTATAAAGAATGTGGGACAACTCACAAGTAGTATTATATTCTAATAAATTGAAAGAAAGTTAGTCACCTAATGCAATCTTTGTTGTTGTGGCAGCCACAAGAGCAAGTTGGGCAAGGAGTGATTGTATTGTTGTAAAAAGAAGAGAATGAAACACAACAACTTGGGTTCTTGGATACTAGGAGTTGCGAGTATGTACAAGTCACATTCCATGTCACTGCGAAATAAAATGAGATTTTATATCTTAATTTGAATTCTCAATCAAATCTAGAAATTTTAAATAGGTAAAAATGCATTTTTAGCCCTTTTGATTTAACGCCATAGCAATTTTAGTCTCAAGGTTCTAACTTTTCACCTTCTGGTCCTGTGATTTAATATTTTGGTACAATTTCGGTCCTTTGAGTACTGAAATTGCAACAAAATTTTAAATAACAAGACTGATATTGCAACAAAATTTAAATTACGTGACTTAAATTGCTAATAAAAAAAATCTATAAATTTGGAAATTCGTTGCAGATTTGGTCCTCAAATTACTGAAATTGCAACGAATTATTAAATCGCCGAACCAAAAGGCAAAATGTTAAAAACTTAAGATTAAAAATGCTATGACGTTAAACTCACAAGAAATGCAATTTAGCCTTTTAAAATACTAACTCAATGACCCACAAGAAATGCAATTTAGCCTTTTAAAATACTAACTCAATGCTTGGGTTTTTCGTCTCTTGTCGGGAGTTAAGTAGACGGTAGATGGCACAATGTTAGCGGGCCCGCAAGTGTAGCCGGGACCGGGAGCAAGGAGAGTAAAATTAGTGGGCAATTTGACGGTTTTGTTGGAAGTCCCGGCAAGGCCGACGCTGACCTGGAAAGACGAGACGGCAGAGGATGGGTCTTGACCCCATGAAGAGACTACCCCGCCTTTGCAGCAATTGGCAATTTGTTGATTGTATGGGACGCCAGGTAGTAAATCAACCACATTGGGATTTCTCTTGCAGCAATGTGGGACATTGCCTTTGAATTTGGAGCAGTCTCCTTGTTCGGTGGTTTGAGCGCCAACCATTGACCAAATCACTTCTTTTTTTGCCCAACCCCAGCTTAAGCTCCACCCAGGACTCATTATGTGACGGTACATTTGGAAGTTGTTCATTGTCACAACCGCCTGATCATCATTTTTTTTTTTTTTATTTTGTAATAAANACAAAAAAAAAATAATAGTAGTTTTAAATAAATAGTTAGAAAAAAATTTAGAATGTAATTTTTTATAGGTATATTGTTCCACATATCATTTCGTGTGACTTTATAATTAGCTAATAGTATCTACTATGTAATATAATGAATAAAAAAATATAATTATTTAAATAATACAAAATGTAACAATTTTCTATTTTAAAAAATTAAGTGATAATATTATGAGCAGGAAAAAAATAGTTTTTTGGCAATAGTTTTTTGCCTGCAATTATATATGTATATATAAATATAGAGATATTATAATATTAGTTTTGGATATCTAGAAAAGATATAATCTTTTTAATATTTTATTTGTTCTCTTTTCAAACGTTAACCCGTAATTGATTTAATTTCCAAAAGAAAACTGTTCAATACAATTTCCTAACCCTCACCAAAACTGATTTTAGCCAGTCATGACTACCAAGTTTCTATAAAAAAAACAATTCCTAATAATTTTAAAATTGCTCACCACATAACCGTCAGGGGTCCAAGATATTACATCCCATTTGATTGTTATGTTCCCAAAAGGATCCAACGGGTCATACGAATCTACAGCAACAATCGACGCATGGAAAAAATAAATGTAATTACCACAAATTAAAGAAAAAATATGCTGTATATATATAAATAATACTCATATTATAAATCAAGCAAAAATATAATTAAATAGTAGAGGCATATGTCAGTTACCTGCTTGAGGGAAGATAGCCCATACAGTGAAGCTCATTATGGATAATGATAAAAAACGATTTGCTCTCTCATTCATTTTTTTTCAATTAATTTCTTTTCCAATTGGCTGAAAATTAATTTGTAAGAATATGGCGAGTGTAAGAACAATCGACTGCATCTTATTATATGTAAATCTGGAAAATGATGAGTCTAATGATTTCACACCTAATGGTTGTTGGGACGTTATTAGCTTTTCATTCCATTGTCTAATCTTTAGAGGTTTGATTCATTAGGGAAACTTAAGTAGTAAATAAAGGTGGCAGCAGACGTCAGATATTTGAACTCACCACATATATAAGTAGTCGGTGTCGCGCTGGTGCTAAATCACTTCGCATAGTGTTTTTCACATAAATAATTGTGATACAATTTGTTGCACTATTAAATCAATGCATGAATTTCAAAAGCTTTGGGTTAGATACTATGGCGCTATGAATTAGGTGACCACACACACCTTCTAATAATAATAATAATAATTAAAATAAAAAAGTATTCTTTTGAATAAGTGAACAATATTAGATATCTTAACACCGTGGGGCAACAAATTGCCTTGAATTGTTCTTAGTTCTCTCTCATGGGAGCTTCATTCATTCCGTTGAAAGCCTTAACTCTCAATTTTTCGAGTGCTCTTGCATTCCTTAGAGTGAGGGTGTGATCGTGTTTCTATAACCCTGTGTTTGGTTCGGGGGAATCAGAGAGGAGGGGAGAGGAAGGAATATTTTTATTTTACTCCGTTTGGTTCAACTTTTGGCAAGGAAGGGGAGTAGAATTTTCTCCTCCATTCTCCCACCCGAGGGAAAATCAGCTCCCCTCCAATTTTGGAGGATTTGGAGGAAAAGTTAAGTCTTACACTTTTTTGTACTAATGTGCCCTTATCAATTCATTATAATTACTAAATTACCCAATATAAATAAAACATAAGTAAGGGTATATTTGTCCATGTAATTTTATTTTCCCTCCCCCTCTATCTTCTAACCAAACAAAGTTAATCATTTTCCTTCACCTCCCTCCTACAAAATACCTCCAAACAAGGTAAAATTATATTCCCTCCCTTCCCCTCCCCTCCCCTCCCATCCCTTCCATTAAATCACCTCCCGTCCCCTCCCCTCCTTTGAACCAAACATAGCCTAAGTGTTTCCTTTTCCCTCCTATTCTCTTCTCTTCGTGTTGGGAGTGGATTTTAGGGTATGTTTAAGTTTTTTGGAGGGTTTGTTTAAAATATTATGGTTGTGTCGATCCTTT